CTACTAAAAATACAAAGATTAGCCAGATATGGTGGCACATGCCTGTAATCCCAGCTACTCAGGAGGCTGAGGCAGGAGAATTGCTTGAACCCAAGAAGCAGAGGTTGCAGTGAGCTGAGATTGCGCATTGCACTCCAGCTTGGGCAACAAGGGCAAAACTTCATCTCAAAAAAAAGAAAAGAGGAAAAAAAAAAAAGTCCAGGTGTGGTTGCTCACACCTGTAATTCCAGCACTTTGAGAAGGGAGGATCGTTTGAGCCCAGGAGTTCAAGACCAGCCTGGGAAATGTAGCAAGAGCCTGTTTCTATAAATAAATAAAAATAAAACAGGCTGGGCATAGTGGCTCATGCCTGTAATCCCAGCACTTTGGGAGGCTGAGGTGGGTGGATTACCTGAGGTCACGAGTTCGAGACCATCCTGACCAACATGGAGAAACCCTGTCTCTACTAAAAACACAAGAATTAGCTGGGCGTGGTAGCACATGCCTGTAATCCCAGCTACTCGGGAAGCTGAGGCAGGAGAATTGCTTGAACCCAGGAGGCGGAGGTTGCAGTGAGCTGAGATTGCACCGTACCCCAGCATGAGCAACAAGAGTGAAACTCCATCTCAAAAAAAAAAAAAAAAGAAAGAAAGAAAGTAAAGAAATGAAACAATAAACCTTTCTGTGCCAGGTCCAAAGTTCTGTGGGGACACAAAGGTTGATCAGACATGAATCCTGCCCTGTTGCTACACTGAAAGTTCTAAGGACCAGTGAGAGGTCACCTGTCAGAAATGTTTGCAGAAGAGCTAGCTAAGAAGACCAACAGGTGAAAACATGGTGGGGTGTGCCAAAACCCACAGACCTGACACCTGCTGATGCCCTGAAAAGGCCCGAGGGCCTCCTGTCCTGGAACTAAAGTGTGGGCACAGCCTTTCCCAAGCCTACTCCAGAGGCCCTCAGAGCATGCCCGGGCTGAAGGGCACTGGACCGCAGCAAGCAGCTGCCTACACACCCTTGCCCTGCATCCTCTACCTTCTGGTTTTCTCTCACTGCACCCCGGCACCCTGTACTCAGAAACCTTCCTGTGTGGCTCAGGGACTCACTCATCTAGCATGTTGAGAGGCTGAGGTGGGAGGATCACTCGAACCCAGGAGTTCGAGACCAGCTTAGGCAACATAGACTCCATCTCTACGAAAGAAAATGTTAGCAGGGTTTGGTGGCTCATGCTTATAGTCTGAACTACTTGGGAGGCTGAGGCAGGAGGATGGCTTGAGGCTGGAGTTCGATGCTGCAGTGAGCTATGGTCACACCACTGCACTTGAACCTGGGTGACAAAATGAGACCCTGTTTCTAAAGAAAAAGAGACCAGGCACTGTGGCTCATGCCTGTAATCCTAGCACTTTTGGGAGGCTGAGGCGGGTGGATTACTTGAGTCCAGAAGTTCTAGACCAGCCTGGGTAACATGGTGAAACCCCGTCTCTACAAAAAATACAAAATTTAGCAGGGTGTGTTGTTGCAGGCATGCCTGTAGTTCCAGCTGCTGGGGAGGCTGAGGCGGGAAGATCACTTGAGCCAGGGAAGAGGAGGTTGCAGTGAGCTGAGACTCTACACTGCACTACAGCCTGGGTGACAAAAAGAAGTCTGGGTGCGGTGGCTCACACCTGTAATCCCAGCACTTTGGGAAGCCGAGGCAGGTGGATCATTTGAGGTAGGGAGTTCAAGACCAGCCTGGGCAATACGGTGAAACCCCATCTCTACTAAAAATACAAAATTGGCTGGGCATGGTGTTGCATATCTGTTATCCCAGGTACTCGGGAGGCTGAGGCAGGAGAATCACTTGAACCCAGGAGGCAGAGGTTGCAGTGAGCCAAGATCATACCACTGCACTCTAGCCTGGGCGACAGAGCAAGAGCCTGCCTTAAAAAAAAAAAAAAAAAAAAAAGAAAAAAAAAGAAGAAAAAAAAAAAAAAAAAAAAAAAAGAAAAGAGAAAGGGAGGGATAGGAGAAAACCTTCCAGGCGTCCCATGTGCACCTCCCTCTTCAAGCCTCCTTACCAGCCGGCTCTGGGACTTGCCCAAACCCTCCTCCCCAGACCACACACCCACAGTCTGGAGCAGGCCGGAGTTCCACGGGCTCCTCAGGCGTGTCACATCACACATCCCTCCCTGTCTCCCTGCTGCCAACTGGTTCCACCGCCATGCACCTCTGCTCCAATTACACCTCCCACACCCGCTGCCACACCTCGGACATGTCTCCCTGAGCTTGCCGTCCCGGGACCCAGTGCATGCCGCCCACTCTCACTTCTACTTCTGCTGCGTCCTTCTGGCCCTGGCAGGACCTGTGGACTCAGGACTCCTGGGCGTTTCCCCTGCCTCTCTTTCCCTCTGGGCCTTGCTTTCCATCGCTCCCGCTCCGAGACCCCAGCCTCCACCCTCCTGGTCCTGGCAACTGTTGAGTGCAGAGGCCTCCGAGGATTTGGAGCACAGTGATTTCAGGGGCTCACTGGGGTCCCTCTGCACTGCCTAGAAATCCTTCGTGTCCTGACCACGCCCCCTTCCCAGACACCACACCCCTGCCTGGTAAGAACCCACTTGCTCTCCTCCCCTGTTCTATCTGGCAGATTGCTTTATGTCCCAGCTAGAACTGAGGCCACAGGGAGCCATTCTTCCTCCTGCAATCAGACACTGAAACGGCCACCATTAGCTTCTTCCTCTAGTCTAAGAGGAAGTGGGTCCCTCCTACCTAAAAGGTTACTACAGTTCTTCCCTCTCGACATGGAAGGCACTCAAGCCTCCTCTATATTGGAAATAACAGTCCCAATGTTAAGACGCCATCTTCTACACTAGAGTCTGCCCTGCCTGCCCATGACCTTCCCTCCCTTTGCAGACAACCCTCCTAAAAGAACGTCTGTGTTCCCTATAACCCCTTCCTCTCCCCAGGCCTCACCCCACTGCATTCTGACTGCTTTTTATTTACTTATTTTTTATTTTTCGAGATGGAGTCCTGCTCTGTCACCAGGCTGGAGTGCAGTGGCGCGATCTCGGCTCACTGCAGTCTCCGCCTCCCAGGTTCAAGTGATTCCCCTGCCTCAGCCTCCTGAGTAGCTAGGATTACAGGCATGCACCACCACACCCAGCTAATTTTTGTATTTTTAGTAGAGACGGGGTTTTGCCATGTTGGCCAGGCTGGTCTCGAATCCTGACCTCAGGTGATCTGCCTGCCTTGGAAATCTATTCATTAAAGTGCTCAGAGAGCAGAGAGAACATGAGTGCAAAAAATTTTTTTAGCTTTTTTTTTTCTATTGCAAGCTATGACTGGGGAAAAAACAAACATCAGCTAGGCACAGTGGCTCATACCTATAATCCCTGAACGTTGGGAGGCTGAGGCGGGCAGATCGCTTGAGCCCAGGAGTTTGAGACCAGGCTGGGCAACATGGCAACACCCCATCTCTACAAGAAATACAAAAATTAGCCGGGTGTGGTGGTGCGTGCCTGTAGTCCCAGCTCCTCGGGCAGCTGAGATGATCACCTGAGCCTGGGAGGTTGAGGCTACATTGAGTTGTGATTGAGCCCCTGGACTCCAGCCCAAGTGACAAAGCAATACCCTGTCTCAAAGAAATTTTTTTGAGTTGGAGTCTTGCTCTGTCACCCAGGCTGGAGTGCAGTGGTGGGTGATCTTGGCTCACTGCAACCTCAGGTCTCCCAGGTTCAAGCGATTCTCCTGCCTCAGCCTCCCAAGTAGCTAGGACTACAAGCATGTACCGCTACACCTGGCTAATTTTTGTATTTTTAGTAGAGACAAGGTTTCGTCATGTTGGCCAGGGTGGTCTTGAACTTCCAACCTCAAGTGTTCCACCTGCCTCGGCCTCCCAAAGTGCTGGGATTATAGGCGTGAGTGACTGCGCCTGGCAAAAGAAAGACAATTTTTAAAAAGTCTATTATGGGGGGTGGGTGTGGTGGCATGCACCTGTAGTCCCAGCTACTTGGGAGGCTGAGTTAGGAGAATTGCTTGAACCTGGGAGGTGGAGGTTGCAGTGAGCCAAGATTGCGCCACTGCACTCCAGCCTGGGTGACAGAATGAGACTCTGTCTCAAAAAAAAAGAAAAGCTGGGTGCTGTGGCTCACGCCTGTAATCCTAGCACTTTGGGAGGCCGAGGTGGGTGGATCACCTGAGGCCAGGAGTTCAAGACCAGCCTGGCCATCATGGTGAAACCCCATCTTCCAAAAAAAAAAAAAAAAGTCTATTATGGGCCAGGTGTGGTGGTTCACGCCCCATAATCCCAGCACTTTGGGAGGCCAAGGCAGGTAGATCACCTGAGGTCAGGGGTTCAAGACCAGCCTGACCAACATGGTGAAACCACGTTTACAGACGTGGGTGGTGCATACCTCTAATCCCAGCTACCTGGGAGGCTGAGGCAGGATAATCACTAGAACTGGAGAGGCGGAGGTTGTGGTGAGCTGAGATTGGGCCATTGCACTCCAGCCTGGGCAACAAGTGCTAAACTCCATCTCAAAAAAAAAAAAAGTCTATAGTGACAAATCCCAGATGTCTTTCCTGTTTGGTGCCACCTGTACACTGGCAAAGCTTTCCATCATGTATCAGTTCACCACCGCAACTGTGAGAAGCCCCCGAGCCCCTCGTCCGGGGTGCGATGACCTGCTCCTATAAAGCCAAACTTACCTGGAGCTCAGCCTCTTGGATTTTTAAAATATGGGTGTCTCTTTTCCTCTGGTTTCTGATGACAGTGTGTCCCAAAGTGCCAAGGGGGCCTTTCCCTCAGTCCAGAGAGTTTTCTGGCCACCAGCTAAGTTCCAGACCTGGGCCTGCTGTGCATGACTGGCCCACAGTTCTAGGCCCAAGTACACAGTTGCCTTCGCCCCAGATGCCATTTTCTTGTCCACACCGCTTGCTGCCAAAAGCCAGGACTGAGCTGTTGAGGGAACAGCTGGCATGCATGCATCTTGGAGGACGTTGTTGACTGGCTGCCAGTCACCACTCGTGCCCTGGCGTTTGTCTTGCAGATGGAGGCTCCGTGGTGAAGGCGCGGGTGCTGACCTGTGTGGAGGGGATGAACCTGCCCTTGCTGGAACAAGCCATCCGGGAGCAGAGGCTGTACCAGCAGGAGCGGCGCAGCGGCCAGTAGAAACAGCAGCCCAGCAACACCCCCACTTGCTTCGGGGGTCAAACCCTCTGGAGCTGCAGGAACCCCGGAGAGCACAGACATCCCCCAGCGACGGCCTTGTCTGCAGCCTGAAAACTGAGGGGGCGGGTGGTGAATCCAGCCCCTTCCGCTACTTTGGGATTGGCTCAGCAATGAGAGCCCTGAAAGCAGGCCCCAAATCCAACAGCTCCACCCTGGGAGACTGCAGGTGGCCAAGCTTGGGTGCCGGGGCTGTGCCTGGTGTGGGGCCGTGGAGGGTTCCAGAAGGTCCTGGTGAATAAAGGCCCAGGGGGCGTGCCCTCGATGTGTGCACCTGGTGCAGCGCTGGTGGGGGCCAGGAGGGGGAGCCACAACCAGTCGTGAGCTGCAGCCTCTCAGAGCTTCTGGTGAATTCTGGGCCGGGGGGCCTCAGGGGAGGGCGCTGGAGGCCCAGGGACCTGGGTGGGGGGCCCAGGACGCAGGGGTGTTGCCCCCAGCCAGCCTCTGCCCTCAGAGGAGGCTGAGCAGCATCACACGGGCGGGGCCCAGGCCCTGGGCCCTGACCTTGCAGCCCAGGGCAGGACTGTGGCTTCAGGGCTCTCCTGACCCCTGACCTCTGTCCCCAGTGGCCCCGGCCCCTGGGCAGCCCTTCCTGGTCACCGTGTGTCCCCAGAGCCTGGGCCTGGCTGGGCTCGGCAGGGGCCTGGGCGGGAGAGGGTGGTCCTGCCCTCTGAGGCGGGGCACGGGTGAGAGGCCTTGGGGGCTGGACTGGGCTGGGCGAGGGGTGGCCCCCGTACTTCCTGGGGGTTATGGCTGGGCTGGGCAGGTGCCTGGGTGGGAGATGTGGGCCCTGCCCTCTGAGGTCGGGCACAGGCAAGAAGCCTGGGGGTCTTGGGTGTCCTGGGTATGCCGGGCTGGGCGAGGGGTGGCCCCCAAATCCCTGGGGGTCCAGGCTGGGCTGGGCTGTGCGAGAGGTGGACTCCGTCCCCCAGCCAGGTTCCCAGGCAGGATGAGCCAACTAAAGGGGGTGGCTGGGCCACATGCCGGGCAGCCTGGGTGTGGCTGGGCAGGGTGTCATGTGGCTGGAGGGGGAGTGGGGGTGCTGGGCGTGGGGTGTGAATGGCTCGGCGCCTTCTGTTTCCCGGACAGCTCTGCTGCCATGGATGTGTTCCAGAAGGTAGAGAAGATTGGAGAGGGCACCTATGGGGTGGTATACAAGGCCAAGAACAGGGAGACAGGACAGCTGGTGGCCCTGAAGAAGATCAGGCTAGATCTGTGAGTGCTGGGACAGCCCCTGAGTTACCTGCCCTGGACCAGCACAGCCTGGGCACTCTCCGGTCCGTTTCCTCCTTCTGGGAGTCCACACTCATCTCTGGGTGCTGCCTGCAGCCTTTGCCCATCCCCCACCCAGCTCACTGCCTCCTGATCAGCCTTTGCCTGGGCCCTGCTCTGTGGATCTTGGTGGGTGACAAGCCAAGGAGCACATGGCCCGGGCATCCTACAGGGATAAGGGACGCAAAAGCCGATCCCCCTGGCCGGAAGTGCCCTTCTTGGCCCCGGCCTCTGTGCCCACGGCTTGTTTCTTGCAGGGAGACAGAGGGGGTCCCAAGCACTGCCATCAGGGAGATCTCCCTGCTCAAGGAGCTGAAGCACCCCAACATCGTCAGGTGAGTTGGGGATGGAGGCGGGATGCTGGGATGGCGAAGGTGACATCCTGACTGCCATCTCCCTGCCAGGCTGTTGGATGTGGTACACAATGAGAGGAAGCTTTATCTGGTGTTTGAGTTCCTCAGCCAGGACCTGAAGAAGTACATGGACTCCACTCCAGGCTCGGAGCTCCCCATGCACCTCATCAAGGTAAGGAGGGAAGGGCAGCCCCGTCCCCGCTATCCCTGTCCGCTCAGCGCCTCCACTCAGCTGGCTCCACCTCACACTCATTTCTCCAGAGCTACCTCTTTCAGCTGCTGCAGGGGGTGAGTTTCTGCCACTCACATCGGGTCATCCACCGAGACCTGAAGCCCCAGAATCTGCTCATTAATGAGTTAGGTGCCATCAAGCTGGCTGACTTCGGCCTGGCTCGAGCCTTCGGGGTGCCCCTGCGCACCTACACCCACGAGGTATTGTGAGACAAAGAGGAGAGAGGGGCAGCAGGAGGAGTGTCACCCACGCACTCAGCCGCCCTGAATGTTGCCGTTTCTTTGCCCTGCAGGTGGTGACGCTGTGGTATCGCGCCCCCGAGATTCTCTTGGGCAGCAAGTTCTATACCACAGCTGTGGATATCTGGAGCATTGGTTGCATCTTTGCAGAGATGGTAAAGAGAGGGGCACACATGGCCACGGGGTGCCACAGGCGGGGTCCTACTAGGGTTGGGTAGGGCCCACTGATACTTCCAGTAGAGGTGGATTAAAGAGTGTTTGGGGCTGGGCACAGTGGCTCACGCCTGTAATCCCAGCACTTGGGGAGGCTGAGGTGGGTGGATCACCTGAGGTCAGGAGTTCAAGACCAGCCTGGCCAACATGGTGAAACCCCATCTCTACTGAAAATACCCAAAAAATTAGGCTGGGCGTGGTAGCTCACACCTGGGCGTGGTGGCTCAGCACTTTGGGAGGCCCAGGCAGGCAGATCATGAGGTCAGGAGTTCGAGACCAGCCTGACCAACATGGTGAAATGCCGTCTCTACTAAAAATACAAAAATTAGCCAGATGTGGTGCTGTATGCCTGTAATTCCAGCTACCAGGGAGGGAGGCTGCGGCAGGAGAGTCGCCTTGAACCCAGGAGGCGAAGGTTGCAGCGAGCTGAGAGCATGCCGTTGTACTCCAGCCTGGGTGACAGAGCTAGACTCTGTCTCAACAACAACAAAAAAATTTTGCCGGGTGCAGTATTGTGCACCTATAATCCCAGCTACTCGGGAGGCTGAGGCAGGAGAATTGCTTGAACTCAGGAGGCGGAGGTTACAATGAGCCGAGATTGTGCCACTGCACTCCAGCCTGGGTGACAGAGCAAGACTTCATCCAAAAAAAAAAAAAAAAAAAAAAGAAAGTCTGGGGCTTGTCCTGGGAAGTCTGGGGATGAAATAAAAGCAAGTAAAAATATATATATATAAATTAGCTGGGTGTGATGGTGCATGCTTGTAGTCCCAGCTACTCAGGAGGTTGAGGCAGGAGGACTGCTTGAGCCTGTGGTTGAGGCTGCATTGAGTTGTGATTACGCCACTGTACTCCAGCCTGGGCAACAGAGCAAGAATCTGTCTCTGTTTTTTAAAAAAAGTGTTTGGTACTGGCTGAAGAACTGAGGAGGCCAGTTTTATTCCAAAAAAGGCCAGAATTCTATGCATAGCCATGGGAAAGCTATCTTGACAGGCGTCTCCCTGGGTCTGGCCACTTATCTCATATTAGATTCTGTATGACAAAGTGACAGACCCCACACCTTCTCTTCTTCCCCGTTCCAGGTGATGAGAAAAGCCCTGTTTCCTGGTGACTCTGAGATTGACCAGCTCTTTCGTATCTTTCGTATGCTGGGGACACCCAGTGAAGCCGTATGGCCCGGGGTCACCCAGCTGCCTGACTATAAGGGCAACTTCCCTAAGTGGACCGGGAAGGGCCTGGAAGAGATCGTGCCCAATCTGGAGCCAGAGGGCAGGGACCTGCTCACGGTAGGTGCACGTGGGCTCTGATTGCTGCTCCAATTAGAGTGTCTCCTAATCAGCCAGCCTCTTACATAACCCTGGCACGTTCTTAACCTGAGGCCGGGATTCTTTCCTGATACACAGCTGGCTCGTCCTTGTCCTTGAGTATACTGATTGTTTGACCTGGGAGCCTCCCCCACGATAAGTGCAGTGTTTATTTTCCCTGTGGGAGTGGCCATCGCTGAGTTAGCCCTGTCTTTATGCCATGCTGTGTGCCCTTTTCCCCAGTTGCCTTATGTGTTTCGTATTCCTCTTTGCAGATATTATTGCTCCATCTAAGCTGTATGCTTCCCCAGTCCGGGGCCATACCTTCTTTTCTTTTCTAATTTTTTATTTTTTTGAGACGGGGTTTCGTTCTTTTTTTTTTTTTTTTTTTGAGACGGAGTTTCGCTCTCGTTACCCAGGCTGGAGTGCAATGGCGCGATCTCGGCTCACCGCAGCCTCCGCCTCCTGGGTTCAGGCAATTCTCCTGCCTCAGCCTCCTGAGTAGCTGGGATTACAGGCATGTGCCACCATGCCCAACTGATTTTTTGTGTTTTTAGTAGAGACGGGGTTTCACCATGTTGACCAGGATGGTCTTGATCTCTTGACCTCGTGATCCACCCGCCTCGGCCTCCCAAAGTGCTGGGATTACAGGCGTGAGCCACTGCGCCCGGCTAGGGGTTTCGTGCTTGTTACCCAGGCTGGAGTGCAATGGCGTGATCTCAGCTCATTGCAACTTCCGCCTCCTGGGTTCAAGCAATTCTCCTGCCTCAGCCTCCTGAGTGGCTGGGACTACAGGTGCCTGCCACCATGCCCAGCTAAATTTTGTTTTGTTTTGTTTTAAGGTAGAGACAGGGTTTCACAATATTGGCCAGGCTGGTCTTGAACTCCTGACCTCAGGTGATCTGCCCACCGCAGCCTCCCAGAGTGCTGGGATTACAGGCACGAGCCACTGTGCCCAGCTGGGGCCATACCTCCTACTGCCTGGGTGTTCCCCCTGTGACTCCTATGGTGGTCAGTCTTCAGAACAGGGTGTTCCTTGTTGCATGGGCCCATGCCATGGTCCTCACTCACCCCTGCTGTTGGTGCCTTGAGCTGGCCCAGGCTGGACAGCCCAGGAAGCATCTGGCAGAGCCATCTGTTCTTTTTTTCTTTTTGAGACAGGGGGTCTCACTCAGTTACCAAGGCTGGAGTGCAGTGATTGACTCGCAGCCTTGACCTCCAAGCCATAAGCGATCCTGCCATCTCAGCCTTCTGAGTAGCTGGGAGCACAGAGGCATGCCACTGTGCCTGGGTAACTTTTGTATTTTTTTGTAGAGACAGCATTTCACCACATTGCTCAGGTTGGTCTCAAACTCCTGGGCTCAATTAATCCTCCTGCCTCAGCTTCCTGGGTATCTGGAACTATAGGCGTGTGCCACCATGCCCAGCTAATTTTTGTATGTTTTTGTAGAAATGGGATCTCACATCCAGGTGTGGTGGCTCACGCCTGTAATCCCAGCACTTTGGGAGGCTGAGGCGGGTGAATCACGAGGCCAGGAGTTCAAGACCAGCCTGGCCAAGATGGTGAAACCCCATCTCTACTAAAAAAAAAAAAATACAAAAATTAGCTGGGCATGGTGGTGTGTGCCTGTAATCCCAGCTACTCTGGAGGCTGAGGCAGGAGAATTGCTTGAACCGGGACCTGGGAGGCGGAGGTTGCAGTGAGCTCAGATCACGCCACTGCACTCCAGCCTAGTCTACAGATCGAGACACTGTTTCAAAAAAAAAAAAAAAAAAAGTGGGGGGGTCTCACTAGTTGCCCAGAGTGGTCCCGAACTCCTGGGCTCAAGCGATCCTCCTGTCTCAGCCTCTCAAAGTGCTGGGGGAATTACAGATGTGAGCCACTTCACCCATCCACCCTCCATTCTTGCCCACAAAGTCTTGGAGCCACATTTCTGTCCTTAATCTGGTGTTGAGTGAGAGGAAGGCGGGTCAGTATTTTCATCTTCAGGTCGTGTGCCCAGCTCTCCAGAAATCTCCGTGTGTTGTCTACCCGCCCAGGGGCAGCAGGATGGCACGGACTCCAGCCAAGGCTCTGAGCCCTCCTTCCAGGCTGGTCCATGACAGGTGTCCTTCCACATCCTGCCTGAGTTTAGGGACCCTATGGTAGAGGGCTGGACAGGTCTGACTTCTTAGAGTGTCAGTTCCCATGCCCCCCGCTCAGGGTTGCTCCCTGGATAGCTTCAGTCCCCTGCTTCCTGATACGTCGGGGATCTTCCTGACTAAAAGCAGGCTGGGACCTGGGACCCTCCCCAGGGAGTGGGGTGACTCAGCTTCAGTGGCCTGAGGAGACCTGGGTGACTCATTAGGACTGTCCAGATTCCAGGAGTGTCCGGAACTGGCTGGAGAGCCGGGAGTTTGTGGTTTCATGCGGTTCTAGGTTTGAGGGCAGCCGTTTTGGGGCTCAGGGCCTTGATCTGGGACCTGGGAGGGGAATTACTCACCCCACCCTGGCTGCATTCAGACCCCATCTTCCTCCTCCTCCTTCCTTCCCAGCAACTCCTGCAGTATGACCCCAGCCGGCGGATCACAGCCAAGATGGCCCTGGCCCACCCATACTTCTCGTCCCCGGAGCCCTCCCCAGCCACCCGCCAGTATGTGGTGCCGCGATTCTGCCTTTGAGAACGTCAAGGCCACACTCAGATCCTCTCTCGAGCAGCTGCTGCCCCAGCTGCCTCCCACCCATTCCCGAGAGAGGACGCATCTGGGGAGAGCAAAGCGCTAAGGAATTGGCATCAACCTGCAGAGGGCTGAGTCTGGGTTAGTCCTGCCCGCAGGTTAGCGAGATCCTGTGTGGTTTTTTGGGTTTGACAGAGTTGTTTCAAAATAGAGGCACAGATGCTCCATGCATGGGGGTCCCCAGGCACTAGAACAACAGGTGCCAAGTTGCAGGCAGGCAGCCTGCCTGGTCTGGGCAGGGCCAGACCCTGAGGAAAGGGTGCCTCCTGCTGGTCTTTTTGGATTTAAAATGTTTGGGGGAAGAGTTGAGTTTCCGTTCAAAGTCCCAAGTTAAACAGGAGGGAGTGAAGGAAAGGAGAGAGGACATGCCCCCGATCCCAGGAGAGCTGGGCTGTGGCTGCACTAGGGAGTTGTTCCTTCACCCAAGATGTGCTTATCTTGGTTCGTTTCTGGCTTGACAACAAGAAATAAACGTGATAATGTTCCTGAGTTTTCTGGTTGTACTGCTCACGGGGGACACCTAGGCTTCCTGACAAGGGGGACATTGAAATAGGACTGGAGACAACCCTGGCCGAAACTGAGACAGTGGGGAAATGGGCACAGGGTGGGTGGGAGGCAGGGGCTGGTTCATGTTTTGTTTTTTTTTTTTTTTTGAGACGGAGTCACTCCCTGTTGCCAGGCTGCAGTGCAGTGGCACAATCTTGGCTCACTGCAATCTCTGCCTCCCCTTTCAAGCGATTCTCCCGCATCAGCCTCCTGAGGAGCTGGGATCACAGGCATGTGCCACCACGCCCAGCTAATATTGGTGTTTTTAGTAGAAATGGGGCTTTACCATATTGGCCAGGATGGTCTCAATTCTCCTGACCTTGTGATCCACCCACCTTGGCATCCCAAAGTGCTGGGGATTACAGGCTTGAGCCACTGCACCTGGCCTTTTTTTTTTTTTTTTTTTTTTTAGAAAGAGTGGTTCTGTCTCCCCCGGGCGGGAGTGCAGTGGCACAAACTCGCTGGACTGCGACCTCCACCTCCTGGGTTCAAGCAATTCTCCTGCCTGTTTCCTGAGTAGCTGGGATTATAGGCAATCTCAGCTATAACCGTAACCTCCGCCTCCAGGGTTCAAGCAATTCTCCTGCCTCAGCCTCCCAAGTAGCTGGAATTATAGGTGTACACCACCAAGCCCGGCTATTTTTTTGTATTTTTAGTAAAGACAGCGTGTCACCATGTTGGCCAGGCTGGTCTCGAATTCCTGACCTCAGGTGATCTGCCCCCCACCCGGCCTCTCAAAGTGCTCGGATTACAGGTGTGAGCCACCAAGCCCAGCCCCATGATCCCTTTCAATTTTTAACTTTTGTGGGTACATAGTAGGCGTATGCATTTATGGGATGCATGAGATATTTTGATACAGGCATCCAATGCGTAATAATCACATCAGGGTAAATGGGATATCCATTCCCTCAAGCATTTATCCTTTCTCTGAGTTACAAATAACCCAATTATCCTCCTTTAGTGATTTTTCTTTTTTTTTTTTTTTTTGAGATGGAGTCTCACTCTGTTGCCTAGGCTAGAGTGCAGTGGCATCATCTTGGCTCACTTCAACCTCTGCCTCCCGGGTTCAAGCGATTCTCCTGCCTCAGCCTTCCAAGTAGTTGGGGTTACAGGTGCATGCCATCACAACTGGCTGATTTTTGTATTTTTAGTAGAGATGCGGTTTCACCATATTGGTCAGACTGGTCTCAAACTTCTGACCTCGTGATCCGCCCACCTCAGCCTCCCAAAGTGCTGGGATTACAAGCATGAGCCACCTCGCCCGGCCTCGAGTGATTTTAAACCATCATCTCTTTCTGTGACCTGCCACCACATCCCTGCCCAGCACCCAAGGAGGCACAGGCTTCCGAGGATGCCCATTTCCCAGGCAGGCGGGTTGGGCACATCCACCCGGAAAGGACTTGAGCAACACTGTCCTTGTACTCATCCCCCAGATGCGTGGATCCTGTGCTCCAAAACATGAATGAACGGGACACCATGTGGCACAGGGAGAATTCGTTTATTGGGATCACCGGGTGGACACGGAGGGAGGAAGGACTGAGCTGCTGCTGTCCTGGTCTGGGGATGGATCGGTCACCAAGGTTAGGGGAGGGAGCCCAACATCATGGTAGTAAAATAATAAAAAACAGCGGTCAACAGGAAGACCCACTGCTGGGGATGAGGATACTCTGAGGCAAGGGGTATTCTGCCCGCCCCAACACACACATTCACCTACCGGCTGCCTGGCCTGTGTCAGCACAGGGAGCGTGGGACAGTGGGGGAGGCCAAGCGGTAGCAGCGGCATCCCTCCAGCGCCGCGGGCAGGAGCAGCAGGCCGCTCAGAGGGTCCTTGCAGCAGCGGCCCATGGCCTCCTTGTAGCTCAGCCGTTCCTTGGAGATGGGGTCTGTCAAATCCTTCTCGTAGTTGGACTCGTCCTGCAGGAGCTGGGCCAGCTCTTCACTGATCATCCCGGAGAGGAGGGCCTGCTGGATGGGGATGCGGCCTGTCCTCTTGGGGTCGATAAGCCCCCCGGTCAGGTGCTGCACCTGCAGGTGTGGGAGCACGCTCTCCCGGGGCATCCAGCCCTTCTGGACGGCCTCGCCCACCGACAGCCTTTTCTTGGTGACGGGGTCCTCGATGCCAGTGAAGGCCTTCTGGGCATTGAGCAACCTCTGCGTGGAGGTATTCTCAATCAGGCCCCTCTCCATGGCCTTGTGCACGGAGTATCGCTCGCGGCTGAGCAGGTCCACGATGCCCCCTGTGGCCGCCTGGGCCTCCAGCAGCTTCTGCCCGGTGATGGGGTCCAGCATGTTCTTGGCCATGGCCGTCTTGATGCTGCACTTGTTGTCCGTGGTTGTGTCGTAGATTCCAGCGATGGGGAAGCTGTCATCACTGAGCCCAAGAGAGAAGCTGGGAGAGAAGAAACTGGCACTCTGGGGGGCCGGGGAGGCAAGTGGGGACTTGGAGATGATGGAGCCGATGGAGAGTGAGGAGCTTGGCTTGGTCTCTCCAGCCACGAGCAGCGCAAACTCGGAGATGGGCAGGTGGCCGTCCTTGTACAGGTGGTACTCCTCCTTGGAGATGCGCCGGCAGCGGAGTGCAGCCTCGATGGAGTACTGTTTCCCGCTCTTGCGGTCCAGGAGCACAGACTCCTCCCCACAGGGCCCCGAGGTGGTGACCTCCTCCCAGTCGCACTCGAGCTCCTGCAGCTGCAGGTACTGGCCCCTGTCGATGATGCCGCTCTTGTAGGCCTCGTACGGGGACATGTCCTTCCCTGTCTCGGGTTCCAGGATGGAGATCTTGGTGGAAAGGTTGGTCTCCCGTGTCTGGGTCTCCTGGCTGAGCTCCTCCCGGCTCACCTTGGCGTGGAGGTCCCGGAGGGTCCGCTCCTTATCATAGATCTGGTCTTTTTCATGGAGGATGGCCGTCTCAAGCCGTGAGAGCTCCTGGCCCCGCTGGGCTGCCTTCTGCCGCTCGCTCTCTGTCTTCTGGCTGAGTAGCTTCGACTCCTCCTGCAGTTGCAGCATCTGCTGCTGCTTCTGCCTCTCCAGAGCCCGCAGCTCCTGCTGCAGCCGCCCACGCTCCTGGTCAGCCTGGTCCCGGGCCCTCTGCAGCTCGGCCTCCTCCTGGGACCAGGTCCTCTCCAGCGCCTCCGCCCGGTCAATGCGCTCCCGCAGGCGCCGTGCCTCCTCCTCCCGGGCCTGCCGGGCTGTGCGCTCGCGGTTGAGCATCTCCCACACGCGGGCCCGCTCATCCTCCAGCACGCGGTCCTTCTGTACCCGGATCACTTCCTTGTAGATGGTCTTCTGCGATTTGGCTTTCTGGAGAACGTCGATCTGGACCTGCAGGTTCTTGCACTCCCGATGCAGCTCCTTTGCCTGGGCCTTCTCCTGGTCCAGGTCCCGCCGCAGGGCGTCCGTGGACTTCTCCAGGTCCGGGTCCTTCTCCAGCTTGACCACTTCCTCCATGATGATCTTCTCCTGCACCGTGGGAGGCCGCTTCTCAAGCTCCTGGATCCTCAAGGTCAGCTGCCGCAGCTCCCTCTCCACAGCCAGCTTCTTGCTGCGGTCCTCCTGGAAGCTGAGCAGGCCCTCCTGCTCCTCCACGCCTGCCCGCAGCTGCTGCACCTCAAGCTCCAGCTGCCGCCGCCGGCCCACCTCCTCATCCAGGCTCCGGCTCAGCCGGCTGTGCTCCTCTCGCAGCTTGGGATCCTTCTGGGTGACCACGACCTCCTGCACCACCACCTTCTCCTCGGGCTTCCTCCTCTCCAGCAACAGCCGCTTGCTCTGCAGCTCGTACACCACGTCCTCTGCCAGCCGCCTCTTCTGGGCCGCCTCCCGCACCTCCTGGCGGAGCCGCTCTGCCTCCTTCTCCAGCACTGGATCCTTCTCATGACGCACCACCTCCTTGCTCACCGTCTTTGTCTCCACCTTGGCCCGCTCACGCCTCCACTCGTCACGCTCGCCCTGCAGGCGGATGAGCTGCTCCTGGGAGCGCCCGTGGCTGTTGACCAGCTCGTTGAGCTGAGCCTTGAGCCGGTCGATCTCGCGCAGCACCTCGGGGCTCCTCTCGTGCCGCACCACCTCCTGGGTCACCTCCTTATACTCCACCGTCGGCTTCTGGGCCCGCAGGACCTCCAGGTCAGGCAGCAGCTTCTCCACCTCCCTCTCCACACTGCTCCTCTTGCCCGCTGTCTCCTGCAGCTTGGCCCTGAGCCGGGTGATCTCCTGCTCTGTCTCCGGATCCACCTGGAAGACCTCGAGGACGCGCTCCTGGAGCTGCACCTTGGGCCTCTGCTTCTCCACCACGCTGTACTTGCTGTGCAGGTCGCTCAGCTCTCTGGCCAGCATCGCGTTCTTGCTCCTCTCCTCCTCGAGGAGGCTCTTCAGCCTGGAGGACTCCTGGAGGAGGCCTGGGTCCTGCTCCACCTTCTTCACCTCCTTCACGATGACCTTGGGCTCCACCGCGCTGATAGCCCGCTCCAGGTCTTGGATGCGTGCCCGTAGCTTGGCCACAGCCTCCTCCACCCCCTTCCTCCGTGCAGCATCCTCCTCAAGCTGCAGCCTCAGAGTCTGGGCTGCCTTGAGCATCTCCAGATCCTTCTCCACCTTGACCACCTCTTTCACCACGACCTTCTCCTTCACGTCCACCTCCCTCTTCTCAAGGGCCAGTAGCTCCTTCTTCAGCCCTTCCAGTCGGGCTGAGACGACAGCATCCTCCCCGCGGAGTTGCTGGATCTGGACCCTGAGCTGGGCTGCCTGGCTGTCCAGGCCGGGGTCCCTCTCCACCTGGGTGACCTCCTTGGTCAGCAGATGAGGCTGCATGGTCTTCCTCTTGCTCTCCAGCTGCACAACCTTCTGGGCTGCCACTTCCAGGTCTGCCTGCAGGCCGGCCCGCCGCTTGCCCTCCTCCTCCACCTGAGCCTTCGCCCTGGACAGGCTGCCTTCCAGCTGGGGGTCCCGGTAGAACTCCACTACTTCCTTTTCCTCCAGCCTCTCCAAAGGCCGTTGGGTCCTCAGCTGCAGCAGCTGGCTCCTCTGCTCCTCCAGCTCGTGCTGCACCTGGGCCACCCGCTTCCTCTCCTCTTCCAGCTGGGCCTTCAGGGCCTCTGACTCTCTCCCTGCTTGGGCAGGGCTCTTGGACCCCTGCTTTGCATCATGGGTCCCCTGGATATCCTCACTGAGCTCCTTCTGCAGAGAGGAAGAAGGTAGAGCATGGGGGATGGGCAGTTGAGACAGGAGCCCATGTTTTTCCTGCGATCAAAGACCCCTCCCTGCTTCCTGAGACTCCCCAGTGGGTCCTCAGAGGTGGAGCTGAAGACCTAAGATGCTTGGATATAGGATTTTGAGAAGACCCAGTCAGTGCAACAATGTTAGTACCCAAGGCAGTGTGCAGGCCTGGTTCGCATTAGAAAGTGCAAATAGGGACTGCGTGCCAGGGCTCACACCTGTAATCCCATCACTTTGGGAGGCCAAGGTGGGCTGATCACGAGGTCAGGGATGGAGACCAGCCTGGCCAACATGGTGAAACCTTGTCTCTACTAAAAATACAAAAATCAGCTGGGCATGATGGTGCGTGCCTGTAATCCCAGCTACTTGGGAGTCTGAGGCAGGAGAATTGCTTGAACCCAGGAGGCAGAAGTTGCAGTGAGGGGAGATCACACTACTGCACTCTAGCCTGGACGGCAGAGCGGGACTCCATCTCAAAAAAGAAAGAAAGTGGTGCAAATAGGGGCGGGGTGTGGTGGCTCATGCCTGTAATCCCAGCACTTTGGGAGGCCGAGGCGGACAGATCAGCTGAAGTCAGGAGTTTGAGACCAGCCTGATCAACATAGTGAAACCCCATCTCTACTAAAAATACTAAAAATTAGCTGGGCATGGTGATGCATGCCTATAATCCCAGCTACTCAGGAGGCCGAGGCAGGAGAATTGCTTGAACTGGAGAGGCAGAGGTTGCAGTGAGCTGAGATTGCGCCACTGTACTCCAGCCTTGGCAATAGAGCAAGACTCTGTCTCAAAAAAAAAAAGTGCAAATAGGACAGGTTCTCCCTGTCCCTCCCAAACCTCTACCCTTTCCCCTTCCATCTAGGGACCGTGACTATGGCTGAGCATAACAGAAAAGCTGGCAAGTCACCAGGCGTCCTGGAGACATTCTGGCTCAAGGCTGTGTATGACGAGGGTGGAGAGCCAGGTGGCTGGGTTAAGGCTGAAGGCTCTATGGGATTTGTCTCTGCTCTCTGGGGTTAGAGGTCCTGTCCCACTGAAGGGCTGTCCACTGGCCAAGCTGTGACCACACCGAATGCCATCTGTAGCGCCTAACACTGGGATGGACACCAGTCTGTAAAAGCTGCTGGAGAGAAAACTGGGTGACCAGGAGCTGCACCCGCTTCCAGCAGCCAGGGCTGCCCAGGGGCAGCAGGCAGCAGGGAGAGGAGGAAGGGAGACTGCCAGGGTGACGGCCTGGCATTGCGGGGGCAGAGTGGCATTCCTGGTTATTCCTGGCTGTTGTGAGAAAGGTGTACGTGTTGTCCACATACCTTCTCCAGCATTTTTCTAGCAAACTCCAGCTGCTGCAGCTGCTGCTGCTGTGCTGCTGCAACCTCTGTATAGGCCTTTGCAAGGTTCTTCTCCTGGAGAGGGCCCGGGGAGAGAGGAAGGGTGGAGTCAGCTCCTGCCTTGGGGCCTGCAGGGCTGATGCCAAGGTCCAGTGTGCCCCCAGGTCCCATCTCACCTGGGTCTGGATGCTCTCCTGCAGGGGAGCCACTCGGGGTCTCTTGGGGGCTAACACTGCCAGGGTGGGCTCCAGGGAGCAGCGGTAGGTGTCTGCCTGCAGCTCATAGTCCTGAGCAGGGAGGGAGGGACAGCAGGCTGGCAGATAGTGGGGGAAGCTGGGTGTGGGGGACAGGGCTGGAAGAGGGAGGTGGGAGACACATGGAGAGGGACAAGCTGAAGGCAAGCTGCTTACCTGGAGCGCCGCCTGCAGGGCCTGGGAGAGGCGGGATGCCATGGTCCTGTCACGCTCTCGGCTCTGGATCTCCTGCATCAGCCTCTGCCAGGGAAGAAGCCAGAGTCAGGAGGCCAGGAAATGCCACTCACCCTGACTCTCCTCCAGCCAGTGCCTGCAGGGCCACAGTCAGCCAGCGCTGCCTCCCAGAGTCAGGAAGGGCAGGGAGCGAGATCCGGGCCAGACTTCCTCCTTTCCCTGACATCATTCTCTGTCTTCCCTCCTTCTTCTCTTAGGCACCTTGGCAGAATCTCTTTCTTCTTCCTTCCTTTTTTTTTTTTGAGACTGAATCTCACTCTGTTGCCCAGGTTGGAGTGTGTGACTCAGCTCACTGCAGCTTCCCAGGTTCAAGCGGTTCTCACGCCTCAGCCTCCCGAGTAGCTGGGATTACGGGTGCCCATCACCATGCCAGGCTAATTTTAGTAGACATGGGGTTTCACCATGTTGGCCAGGTTGGTCTCAAACTCCTGATCTCAGGTGATCCACCCACTTCGGCCTCCCTAAGTGCTGGGATTACAGGTGTGAGCCCCGCCAATAGTTCACATTTCTGACAAGTCCCCAGGCGATGCTGCTACAGCTCCTCCAGGGGCCACCCTTTGAGAATCACGGCTCCAATTTGAAAGTTCTTAACCCAGGATGCCCACTTTTATTCACCTGGGAACTGAATATACTGATGTTCTGACCACAATAATCCAACGTATTCGGTCTGGGAGGGGTCCTGGCCTGAGAATGTTTTGAAAGCTCCCTGGGAGATTCTAGTTTGCAGCCAGGGCTGAGAATCTGTCCCAGGCCTCCTTCCCAATGTCAACTCCCTACTGTCTCCCCAGATATTCTCATTTTCCGGCAGTCCCAGACCCATCTTTGCTTCCACAAGCTTCTAGGGGAGCCCCCAGCCCCAGCTCCCTCCACCTCCCTGGCTGCGCTGGCTGTCCTGGCCACCCCATTTCAGCAAGACCCAGCTGGTCCCATTCATCTCCCCAAATATGCTCTGCTCCCTGTGTTCCTGCCTCAGGTGGGGGCACCCCCTCTTCCCAGTTGTCCCCAATAGCACCCTGGACACCACTGGGCCCTGTCCCACTCAATGTCCCCTTCATGCTGTCACCAAGTCCACCTAATTCTTCGGTCTCTGTCTCAGACCTGCCCACCTCGCCCTGTGCCATGGTCCCTTCCCTGCCCAGGCCCCCACCCTCTCTCACCTGGATTTCCACCCTGGATCGGCACAGGCCTCAGTGTCCTCACTCCCACCCTGTTAGCTGTCCCCTACCTGGCAGCCAGAGCCAGCTTCTAAACACCAGTCTGGAAGCACCCCCTCCCCAGCAGCTCCCAGGGGCCGCAGGAGAACGTGCAGCCTGGGTCCTGTGCCAGAAGGGCCTGTGTGGTCTGCCCATCTGGTCACCCTCAGCCGAGTCCCTGTCCTTTCCCCTGACTGCCATGTCCTCTGTGTGGGACACTTCATCCCTGCCCCGGCTACCCTGGCTTCCTCCCACACGACCGGCCCTGACCCACACGGGTGTCCAGCCTGGGGGTACCCCAGCACGCTGGCTTCTCTCACCAACGCTTATCCACATCATACACCTCCCCCACCAGGCTGGGAGCTGCCTGGGCACAGGGTTGTGCCCTAGTGAACCCATGGCCTGGTACATAGCAGGGGCTTGATGAGTATGAGCAAGATGCAGTAGTGGCCAGAACCCTTAGGGCTCTGTGGCCTGAGCTTGTAAATCCAACTGCCCCAGTTGGGCCATGCAGCAATGGGCTGGCCCTGTCAGTGGGCAAAGTGGAGCATTTCAGCTGGAGGCCAGGGAAGGGGCCCAAGGCCTCGTGGCCTGGGCTTCGAAGACCCTTAGAGCTCTTCTGAGCTTTGGCCACTAGGGGGCAACATGGGCACATGCAGCTGTCCCCGCCCTGCCTCACCTTCTGCGCCTGCAGCTTGTAGGCTATCTGGCTGGGGCCGTCGCTGGGCCGCGAGTGGCCGTGGGGCAGGTGCTCCAGCCAGGAGCTCAGGTTATCCTTGTAGTTCTTGAACTGCTGGTAGGTGAGGGCGGCATCCTGCACCATCTTTTCCCTGCAGGAGGACAAGGCCCAGAACAGAGGTGAGACCTGCCCTCTGGGGACAGGGGCGGGTGCACAGGGAGGCAGGTGGGAGCCTCCTAGGGCAGGTCAGGTGGCTGAGCAGCCTGCTCTGCAGATCCCCACTCCCTGACCCTGAGCTGGGGATTCAGAGATGGGCCAGTCTCTGCCAGGCACCACCCTGGGAGGCAAGTGCTGTTGTTATTCCATTTTAGAGCCGAGGAAGCAGCTTCAGAGACGTGAAGGCACCAGCCCAGGATCACACAGCTTGTAGGCAGCAGTGCCTGGCTCTGCACCAGCCCACACCCTGTGCCCCGAGCACCCAGACGCTCACCGAAGGTCCAGCTGGTCCCCTGCGGCGTGGTAGCGGTCGGTAAGGACTCGCACCTGGCGCTGCTGGCGAGGCAGGTCTTGGCAGAACTCCTGGAAGTTGTTCTGCAGTGCGGCGCACGCGTGCTCGGTGGCCTTCAGCGCACGGTGCAGCCCCAGCACACAGGCCTGCTGATCCAGCAGCTCCCTCCGCTGGCGCTACGGGAGGAGCGGATGCAACCGTGCACCCTCGTGGTTGGGGAAGCGCCGTGTCCACCCCACCTGCTCCCAAATGCTGGATCAGCTGTGCCCCCTCCCACCAGAGGCCCCGGTCAGCCCCTTACCTGCAGCTCACTGACCCTCTCCTGCAGCGCCCCTGGTTCAGCAGGGATGGGGGCCTCCTGCACCAGGGTGGCCTCGAGGCCTTGGATGACCCTGTCTGCATCCCGGATCTGCCGCTCCAGACCCAGGGCAGCCTTGGCTCTGCCGCACAGGAGGCAAGGCTCAGACACTCCCCGAGCCACACGCTGCTGCCCTGCCCGGCTGCCCTGTCCCCAGAGCACTCACTTCTCCCCGTAGAGGCTGCACAGAACCTGCACGTCACTGAACCTGTTCTTCACGCTGTTGAGAGCCACAGGCAGCTGCAGGGCAGCGGGACCCACGGGCCGTGTGGACAGAAATGCCTCGCACTCCTTCTGGGCTGTCTCCTTCTCCGCTCCCAAGCTCTGCAGGCGCTGGGCTATGCCCTGGAGATTGGCAGGGTCAAGGATCTCTGGGTAGATGGGTTCCGCCCAACTCTTCTACCAGGATACCCTAACTCTGTGCCACAGAGTTACCCTAACGGAGGCCACAGAGTGTGGTGGGTACATACTTGGGCTCAGTCCAGAGAACTGCGTTCAGTCCCGGCCCCACTTGTACCTTTGTGGATGACCTAGGGCAGATCAGCCTCTCTGACCCTCAGTCTCCTCATCTACGGAATGATTGATAGGTGGGGCTGGGCACAATGGCTCACACCTGTAATCCCAGCACTTTGGGAGGCCGAGGCAAGTGGATTGCTTGAGGTCAGGAGTTTGAGACCAGTCTGGCCAACATGGCAAGACCCTGTTTCCACTGAAAATACAAAAATTAGCCGGCCACAGTGGCGTGCACCTATAATCTCAGCTACTCAGGAGGCTGAGGCAGGAGAATTGCTTGAACCCCAGAAGGTGGGGGTTGCAGCAAGCTGAGATCATGCCACTGCACTCCAGCCTGGCGACAAGAGCAAGATGCCATCTCAAAAGAATAAATAAATGTAAAAGAATGATTGGCCAGGTGCAGTGGCTCACACCTGTAATCCCAGCACTTTGGGAGGCTGAGGTGAGTGATCAGGAGGTCAGGAGTTCGAGACCAGCCTGGCCAACATGGTGAAACCCTGTCTTTACTAAAAATTCAAAAATTAGTTGGGCATGGTGGCGGGTTCCTGTAATCCCAGATACTTGGGAAGCTGAGTCAAGAGAATAGTTTAAACCTGAGAGGCAGAGTGCACGCCATTGCACTCCAGTCTGGGTGACAGGACAAGACTCCATCTCAAAAAAAAAAAAAAATGATTGATAGGATGACACAGAGCCTGTGTCCCGAGCTCAGCGGAGAGCACCAGGCACAGTTACGTACAGTCATCTTCATGTCACTGTCCTGACCACAAGACCTTCAGGTCCCCTGGCCCTGTCGCTCCAGCCAAAGCCCTGGGTCTGCCTACCGGGGACCGCTGCCCTCATTCTGTCATCAGCCGTTCACGCTTCTGCTCTATCCATCACTGGGCAGTGTCAACTCTGCACCAGGCGCCGCCCACCACCCAGTCTAACTCGGCTTCTGCTGGACCACCACACTGACGTGGCAGATGCTGTGACTTCAAAACCTAAGAACCCAGCTTCCTGGGAGGATGGGAGAGGGGAACTGTTTGAGACCAGGAGGTTGAGGCTGCCGTGAGCCTTGATCGTGCCACTGCCCTCCAGCCTGGGCAACAGAGCAAGACCCCATCTCGAAATAATAGGGCCAGGTGCAGTGGCTCATGCCTATAATCCTAGCACTTTGGGAGGCTGAGGCAGGAGGATTGCTCAAGCTCAGGAGTTCAAGACCAACCTGGGCAACGTGGCAAAACCCCATCTCTACCAAAACAATTAGCTGGGCTCCATGTGTCCCTCCTGTGGTCCTACCTACTCGGGAGGCTGAGGTGGGAGGACCACTCAAGGCTGGGAGGTAGAGGTTGCAGTGAGCTGACATCACACTGCTGTGCACCATTGCCCTCCAGCCTGGGTGACAGAGTGAGACCTCATCTCAGAAAAAAAAAAACAGGCCGGGCACGGTGGCTCACGCCTATAATCCCAGCACTTTGGGAGGCTGAGGTGGGTGGATCACTTGAGGTCAGGAGTTCCAGACCAGCCTGGCCAACATGGTGAAACCCTGTTTCTACTAAAAATACAAAAAATTAGCTGGGCGTGGTGGCGGGCGCCTGTAATCCCAGCTACTCGTGAGGCTGAGGCAGGAGAATCACTTGAACCTGGGAGGCGGAGGTTGCAGTGAGCTGAGATTGCACCACTGCACTCCAGCCTGGGTGATGGAGAGAGACTATCTCAAGAAAGAAAAAGAAACTGGTTTGGAAAGATAACCCAGACTGCGGCCCGATGTGGGAAAGGCGGTTTTCACTTTTAGCACTGCGTCCACCTGGCAGAGAACTTGCAGGTTTTGGGTAAGGCGTTTACACAACGCCACCACCTCCCCAGGAGGGGCCCCCCCCTTGCAGCCAGGGGACATCTCTTCCTAAGGTTCTCCAGGCTCCCTTGCTATTTCAGGAGCTTCGCCAGAACGCCTCCTGGGGGTATTGACATTGGGCCCTACTGGAACCTTCCTGAATGATCAGGTGAGCTGGGCATTATTACGTCTGCTTCAGGGATGAGGAAACTGAGGCCCAGAGAGGTTCTGTAGTCCAAGATCACAGAGTTGATCAGTGGAGGAGCCAGGAAGGGAACTAGCTTATCTGAGCCCGGGTCCGTCCATGCCCTTCTGTACCTCTGTCCCACCTAAACCTCAACCAGCTAAATACAAACCACCAAACCTAAACCAGCTGAATATAAACCACTAAACCTAAACCAGCTGAATATAAACCACTAAACCTAAACCAGCTGCTCCTGCACTTGCCTCACCTCCCTCAAGTGAGAGCACCAGGGACCAGGTGCGTCTCATCCCAGCTGCCCTTGCCCGCCGCTCACCCACCTCGTGGCTGTGGATGCGGCCCTCCAGGTCCTCCAGGGGTGTGGTGCGGCTCAGCGGGGCCCGTGCCCAGGCCAGCACCTGCCTCTCTATCTGCCCCAGGTCCCCATCCAGGCGGGTCATCTGTGTCAGGAGCTTCTGGGCCTGTGGGTTGGCTGGGGCCGAGCCAGATGGAGCTAGGGACAGAGGTGCTGGTGAGGGCCCAGGGCCTATCTCCTGACTGCCAGATGGGTGCCCCCACCAGGTGCCCACAGAGGGTCCTGTGGGGGTAGGTGGAGGGAATGGACAGGGCCACCCCAGAGAGGAAATCCCCAGAGTGGTGGTCCCTAACTCAAGGCTACCCCCTGCCCATCACAGACTCCCTCCAGCCCCACAGCCACCCCTCCCCAGGTGCCCTGGATACCCTGTTGGCTGGGCCGAACAGACTCCGCAGCACTGGCCTTCAGGCGGCTCTGGACGGTGGCCAATTTCTGCTTCACGGCCTGCAGCTCTGAGGCCAGCCTAGAACGAGGAGGAGATTGGAGAAGGACGTCCCCACTCTGCCTCTCTCCCTCCCCACCACCAGTAGACACAGCTCCAGTGAAGGCTGGCCCTTGAGCAGGGGTCTGCTTGCCGGGCCATGGCCTTGGATAGCACAGGGCAGGCCTGGTCTGCCCACAGCCTGTCCCTGAGTTTCTATCCCTAGGCAGACCTACCGGGAGGCCCTGGCCACGGCTTCAGGGTCCGGTGCTGGGATGCAGAGGCAGGCAGCAGGGGCACGCTTGGTCTCCCCACCAGGGCCCTGCACGACCCAGGTGTGCGGGTCAGTGTTGTCCATCAGCTTACACCGCTCACCCCGCAGAAGCTGCACCTGGGGGCACAGATGGGGAGCGGTTCCTTCAGGCTCAGGGGCAGGGGCTGGAGAGGGGGCCAAGGCCAGGGCAGAGTAGGGATTGGGGACAGAGACAGGTGGGACAGCAGCTGAATAGGGACAGGAGTAGGGGCAGGAGGTGCTGGGGTGGGGAAGAAGCAGGACAAGATTTGGAGAGGGAGGGTCTGGGTCAAGGGAAGGAGCAGGGCCGAGGCAGGCGCAGGAGGCGGCTGGGGCTGAACAGGGATGGGACTGGCCAGGGGAGGGGCTGGGCTGGGTGGGGCTGGATGGTGGCAGGGGTGGGGTGGGAGAGTTCACACTTCTCCTGAGTCCCAGTCACAGATGCTGTCCACGCGCAGGGGCTGCTGGGGCGGGTGTCTTCGCTGTGGCAGAGGGGCCACCTCCTGGCTTCGCCGCTGCAGGTCTTCAGTGGCCCTCTCAGTGACAGCCAGCTGTTTCTCCTCTACCTGCCGGGAGCCCAGGCAGTGGGGACTCAGGCCAGGCTGCATTGGAGGCTGGCCGCCCCATACCCGTCCTTCAAAAGGACCAGGGGCTGGCCTTCATGAAGGCAGGGGTCTCTAAGTCAGCAAAGTAAAAGGAACTCCTCTCTGGGGGCCTGGAATCCTGGGATCTGCTGGTTGCAGGGAGTGGGACAGCACAGCACCACCCAGGCCTTCGAGCAGAGGCTAGAGGGGCCTCGGAGCTCTCCCAGGCTGCCCTTGTCCTGCTACAAATGAGGAAACTGATGTCCAGAGATGGGAGGGGCTTGCTGGTACCTGGCCAGCCTTCTGCTAGGGCAGACCCCCAACGAGCGCCCAGGCCAGGGCTTGGGACAGGACTAGGTACTGAGGCAGATGGGGTGAGGCTCAGAAAGATGGACAGACCCAATTCCCAGAAGTGGGGTGCACATGGCCTGGCAGGGTTGTCTCACCTCCAGCTGTCGCAGTAGCTCTGATGGGGTGCTAGGGGGGCCCCCAGGTGCAGGGCTGTACTTGGCATCCAAGTTGGAGTTGAGCTTCGCCAGGGTCTGGCTGACTGAGTCGGCCTCTTCCTGGAACTGAGGTCGCTGGGTGGTCAAGGGCAGATCCTGGGGCAACCTGCTGCCCACTGACCTCACAAACCAGCTGAACCTAAGTCAGCTAACCCTAAACCAGCTAAACACAAACCAGCTAACCCTCAACCAGCTAACCCAAAAACAGCTAAACCTAAACCAGCTAAACCTAAATCAGCTAAACACAAACCAGCTAACCCTAAACCAGCTAAACCTAAATCAGCTAAACACAAACCAGCTAACCCTCAACCAGCTAACCCTAAACCAGCTAAACCTAAACTATCTAAACCTAAACCGGTTAAACCTAAACCAGCTAAACACAAACCAGTTAAGCCTAAACCAGCTAAACACAAACCAGTTAAACCTAAACCAGCTAACCCTAAACCAGCTAAACACAAACCAGCTAAACACAAACCAGTTAAGCCTAAACCAGCTAAACACAAACCAGCTAAACCTAAACCAGCTAACCCTAAACGAGCCAATCAATCTAAACCTAAACCAGCTAAACCTAAACCAGCTAAACACAAACCAGTTAAGCCTAAACTAGCTAAACACAAACCAGCTAAACCTAAACCAGATAACCCTAAACCAGCTAACCCTAAGCCAGCTAAACCTAAACTATCTAAACCTAAACCAGTTAAACCTAAACCAGCTAAACACAAACCAGTTAAGCCTAAACCAGCTAAACACAAACCAGCTAACCCTCAACCAGCTAACCCTAAACCAGCTAAACCTAAACCAGCTAAACCTAAACTTTCTAAACCTAAATTAGCTAAACCTAAACCAGTTAAACCTAAACCAGCTAAACACAAAGCTAAACCTAAACCAGCTAAGTACAAACCAGCTAAACACAAACCAGATAAACATAAACCAGCTAAACTAAACCAGCTCACTCACCCTAAGCCAGCTAAATCTAAACCAGATGAACCTAAACCAGCTAAACAAAACTAGCTAAACTTAAACCAGCTAAATCTAAACCAGCTAAACAAAAACCAGCTAAACCTAAACTAGCTAAACCTAAACCAGCTAAATACAAATCAGCTAAACCTAAACCAGCTAAACATAAGCCAGCTAAACCTAAACTAAACCTAACCCAGCTAAATACAAACCAGCTAAACACAAACCAGATAAACAAAAACCAGCAAAACTAAACCAGCTCACCCTAAGCCAGCTAAACCTAAATCAGCTGAACCTAAGCCAGCTAAACCTAAACCAGCTAAACACAAACCAGCTAAACACCACATGAATGTAAACCAACTAAACCTAAATCAGATAAAGCTAAACCAGCTAAACCTAAACCAGCTAAAACTAAAGCAGCTAAGCACAAACCAGCTAAACACCACATAAACATAAACCAACTAAACCTAAACCAGATAAAGCCAGACCAACTAAATCTAAACCAGCGAAACCTAAACCAGATAAAGCTAAACCAGCTAAACCTAAACCAGATAAGGCCAAACCAGCTAAACCTAAACCAGCGAGACCTAAACCAGATAAAGCTAAAGCAGATAAACCTGAAGCATCACTTTCCCCTATTCTGGTCGGTCTTTTTTTCCTACCCGGGAACACTTGACCTTTGTCCCTCCTGCGCAAATGAAGGGCACCCCCACTTGCCTCCCTTCAGCACCTGAAGTCTTTCTTGCTGGGACGGAGAGGATGGGGCAGCACTTGCCCCAGCCCTGGAGAAGAAGCTGGGAATGTGCTCTAGAGAAACATCCCAGGTGCTTTTACAGAATTATCATCAATGCGTGTGATCACAACTTGTTCTATAGGAAAAGGTATGAAACATCACCTGCCCCCAAATCCCAGTTGCATATTATATCGGGGTTTCTCAACCCCTTTTTTCATTACAGTTTTCCTAAAGAGCCTTTTAAGATATCTTTTCTTAATTTCCCCCCCCATCTCTGTAAGTTTTTATTTATTTATTTTTATAGAGATTTATTTATTTGTATAGAGACAGGGTCTTGCTATGTTGCCCATGCTGGTCTGGAACTACTGGGCTCAAGCAATTCTCCTGGCTCCGCCTCCCAAAGTGCTGGGATTACAGGTAGGAGCCACCACACCTGGCCCCCATGACATTTAATACCACAGATATGCTATATACAGCTTAGGTACTGTACGTGACTCTTTACTTCATGCATAAAAAGAGTTAAGATATTTTTCTGCCCTTAAGAACCAATTTTCACCCCCCTGGGGATGGCTTCACCCTATTGAGAATGTACCCATGCCTTCACTTTCCCTCTGGGACCCAGTGGCAACCACACAGCTCTATTTTATTTCATTTCTGAGACGGAGCCTCTCTCTGTCGCCCAGGCTGGAGTGCAGTGGCCCAATCTCAGCTCACTGCAACCTCCACCTTCTGGGTTCAAGCGATTCTCCTGCCTCAGCCTCCTGAGTAGCTGGGTCTACAGGCACGTGCCACCAAGTCTGGGTAATTTCTGTATTTTTAGTAGAGGTGGGGTTTCACCATGTTGGCCAGGCTGATCTCGAACTCCTGACCTCAAGTGATCCGCCACCCTCGGCCTCCCGAAGTGCTGGGATTACAGGCGTGAGCCACTGTGCCCTGCCAGCTCTGTCTAGTTTGGAGGTGCGGTGCCTCTCCCGTGGCAGGTGTGCTGTGGGACCTCCTGCCCCTGGTGCCCGCCCCTGCCCCCCTGCCGCCTGCCCGAGGGCTTACCCGGCGGTAGTCCTCCACGTGCTGCAGCTGGGCCTCCTGGCAGATGCACAGGTTCAGGAAGTTCTGCCACTCCGTCTTCAGGGCCTCCTGGTGGGCCTGGGGACCGCAGCATGGAGCCCTCGGACCACGCTCCTCCCCCGCTCCATCCCACCTTCCCTCCTTCACACGTCCCTTCTCACTTCGCCCTGCGCTCAGCGCACCTGGATGGGCCCCACTGCCGGGTGCCGCAGCTCCACCATGCGCTCGCCGTCGTCCTCCAGCTGGTTCACGCTCTGCTCCTGGCTCAGCAGCTCATACTGCTTAAAGTGCTGGGGGCGAGTCCGGTGGGGAGCGGCGGTGAGGACCAGGATGGCCATGGCCACCCCCACCCGGCCCCAACCTCTCCCCGCCGACCTCATACTCCCGCCGCACGCCCGCGGGGTCGGCCATGAGGTCGCTCCAGTCCTGCTGCAGGATGCGGCGCTGCTGCTCCCCCAGGGCGCTCAGCTGCCGCGTGCAGCGCTGCAGGTGCGTGTACAGGCTGCCCAGGCTCTGCCCGCGCCACGACACCGCCTTCTGTGTTCAGGACCCGGTGCCAGCCGCAGGGTGGGGAGAAAGGGAGGGGGCCAAAAGGCGCCATCGGGCGGAGCTCAGGAACACTGGCCCCATGTGCAGGGTCCGGCAGGCCACCGGCGCCCACCCGCAGCCACCCGGCACAACCCTCCCTCCTGCTCACCAGTAGGTCTCGGTATTGGCTCCGGACGGTGGCTGCATCCTGCCTCGACCAAGGGGAGAAACAGGCCCGTGAGAGGCGGGGTGCAAGGAGACAGCACCTACGATCTGGGCCAGCCATACCTACCCACCCCTATGCCCAGGGCCCAGCCAATCTAGCTCTGGCTCTGACTGGGGAAACGGGCTGGGGCTGGGCTGGGATGTGACATCCGGGTGGGCTCACCCACCGGCCCGATGAGGCTCCGCAGCTGCTGCCCGTAGGCCTCGATCTCCTTCTGCAGGATGTTGTGCTCTGCAATCTGCTGCTCCAGCTCTGCGATCCCTGGCCCGTACTGGCCTGCAAAGACCTGCTTCTGCAGGAGAGACTGCGGCTCAGTCCCCACAGGACCCAGGTGGGGAGCCAGAACCGCACATGCCTCCCACGTGCAGAAGTGGACTTGGTCATTTGGGCAGAGGGTGGACGAGCCTGGGAGCAGCCCGGGTGCATGCCCTGCTCATCCAGGGGCAATGCCATTCTGGAGTGGCCTCTGAATCCCACTGGTTCCCAGACGCTGGGCTCAGGCTCTGAGAAGTCTCCCAGCTCCATCCTTCCTTGTCTGTGACCCAGCCTCAGTGTTTCCTGCCTGGACACCTCCAGCCAAGCTCTGGGGCCCTCAGCACGCCCTGCTCCACCCAGGCCCTTCCCCACTGCCCCTGTATTATCATCATGACACTCCTTCTGTGTGGCACCAAAGCACAACTCCTCACCCAGGGATGAGAATGCCCCATGACCTGGCTCTGCCTACCTGCCCAGAAATCCCCACTTCCCGTAGAACCCCAGGCTTCCTCCCGTCAGGAGCCTTTGATCCTTCTTTCTGGAATGTCCTGTCCTCACTACTTCACCCTGACCCACCCGAGCTGTTTCCCGGCTCTGAGTTCTCTTCATGTGCCTCCTCCTGCAGGACGTCTTCCCTGACTGCACTGTCTGCTCTGCTGTCTCCCTGCCCGGACCCCTGAGCCAACCAGGTTCAAGTCCTGGATTAAATGCAGCTCTGTATCACCTTCTTGTCACACAGGGGTGTGACTTTGAGCTCCTGACCTGTTTCTGCTCCAGCACCCGTGCCCAGTCGACCCTGGGTCCCACATTGGGGGGCAGCACCATCTTCTCATACAGGGCTCGGTACTCTGCACACTCTTGGGTCACCCGCTCGTGCAGCTGCTTGATGCTGTCAAGAAGGTGGCTGGCAGGTCAGCGCTGGGCCTGGGTCCTCCCCGGGGACCCCCAGCCCTGCCGCAGCCCCACTCACTCCTTCTCGATCTCCTCGGCCTGTGGGTGCTTGAGCCGCCGGGCCTTGTCCACATCCAGGAAGAGGTCCTTGAGCAGCACCTCGGCCTCCTTCAGGCTGCGGCCCGTCTCTTGCTGGTGCTGCAGGGCTTGGCTCTGCTCGCTGTTCAGCCGGTCCTGTGGGCAGGGGATGGGCAGACTCGCCAGGGCCCCGTGCCCCCACACCCCTGCTGCCCCTCACTGTGGGCCTGAGCCCCTCCTTTGGGACCCCAGCTACGCTGGCCAACCTCGAGGCCCATGCCAGCCACAGGTCAGGCCCAGGGCATCCATGGAGCAGGTGACAAGGACACAAGGGAGCCCAGCAAAGAAGGAAGCTGAGCCCTCTCTCCACCGTGTGTTAGGGGATGGGTGGTGCAGACCAGGGTTGCCTGTCCCATCTTCACCATCACCAGGGGCCACTCAGGGAGTGCCAGGCTTGATGATGGGCCTCCCATGCCACCCAGCCTGCCCACAGCCTGCCACCTGCCACCTGGCCTCACCTGCTGCAGCCTCTTCTGTGTCGCCAGGATGTCCCGCTCCACCTGGTCGGCGTTAGCTTGCATGCGAGAGATGAGCAGGGCCAGCTCCTGGGTGGCAGCCCTGGTGGGTGGAGGGGAGAGCAGGCAGCTGGGTGGAAGAGGCCCCTCTGTGCCCCACCCAGGTAGTGTCTGCTGCCCTCCCTCGACCCCATCCTGCCCCACAACCCAGCTTACTGCCCGGACTCTGGGGTCTCTCTCTCTCTCTCTCTCTCTGCAGGAGGCTCTGTGAGCTAGTTCTGGGGTTGGGGGTATTAACACTGCCCCCCCAAATAAACGTTCAAAAGGTGAGGGTCCCAGGTGTGTGTGGCGCTGGGGAGCAGGTGGCCGCGGTGTCCCAGCCTCAGCCAACTGTGCTGGCAGTGAGTTCCCAACCCCACCCAGCCGCCTGCCGCCTCCCTCCCTGACCCAGTGAATCACCGCCTCAGCCAGCCTGGCTGGGCCCTGGGGACGGGCAGTTGGGCTGGCTGGGGTAGGGGAGCAGCAGCAAGGCCCCCACCCCCACCACCGCCCACTCCAGCCCTGTGTCCTCCCACGCCTCCTCCCCCCGGGGGCTTTGCCAGAGTGCAGGCCTCAGCAGTGGTCTAGAGGAGCCCTTCACTGTCGGAGTGGGGATGGGGCAGGCACGAGAGACTGCTGGGCACCCTAACATTCTCCAGAGTTGAGGGTTCAAAGCCCAGATTGGGCCCTGACTTGCTCTGGGTCACAGGGTCAGGGAAGCCTGGCGTCCACCCCAGAGCTCTCTCTGTGCACTCGCCCTGCAGCCTCCACAGAGCGCCAGCTGTGTGCTTGCACTCACTCTGCGGAGGTCATGGGGTCAAGCTGACCTAAAAGAGGGCAGAGCAGTCCAAGCCTCAAGAGCACAGTGCCTTATGGGGATCATCACCCTGACGTGGGGGAAGCCTTCACTGAACTGGGTCAAAGGATGGGCCCCCCAGGCAAAGGGGCAGTGCTGGTGAAGGCACAGCAGTCTGGAAGAACTCTGTGGTCAAGACAGCCTGGTTTCATTTTTCTCCATAGTTAATGCTGTGTGACTTTGGGCAAGTTACTCAACCTCTCTGTGCCTGAGATACCTCACTTGTAAAGCAGGATTTTGATAATAATAATCTCTATCCTTTAAGGCTATTGTGAGCATTAATTATATTTATCCATCTGAAACATCCAGTGCAGGCCTGGTGCAGGGTAGGCACCCAGTACGTGTTAGTTTTTATTCCGCTAGAGGGCTGGCACCTTGAAGGCAGGGGCCTGTCGGTTCTGTCTCTGGCGACATCTCCAGTGCCTAGAACAGTCCTGGCCTGTAGTCAGTGTTCAATAAGTTCATGTCAAATGAGTGGATCGCACCTGAGGTGAGGGGGCAGCAACCAGAGCCAGCAGGCCCTGAGGACCAAGCTGCCCCAGGCCAGGAACGCACTGCCCGGGAGCCTGCCCCGACAGTGGGAGCTGCAGGCGCTGGGCCCTGGGCGCTGGTGTTTAGGTCCCGCCTCCTGGGATGGCTGTTCCCGCTGGGAGCTGCACACTCCACCCTGGGTGGGGCTCAGGCGCCCCAGGGAGGACAGGTCACTCAGCGAGAGTGTTAGCCGAGAGTCTTATCAACACTGTCTTTCCCGTCCGCCCAGACACCCAGCCTCGGTGTCTGCTGGTGCCCTGATCCCTATCGGGGTAATGGGCGCCCCCACTCCCACACCGGCCTTTCATCCCTGTCCTTATCTCGACACCCTGGACCCAGGCGGGCTGCCACCGCCTCTGCAGACCAGCTGAAGCCAACGAGTGGGGAGAACACCGCCCAATCCTCAGAGAGCCAGGGCTGGGCCCCAGAGAGCTGGGGGCTCCCAGGGAGGCCCAGTGCCCCTGCCCCACACCCGCAGGGAAAGGAAGCCCAGCTCTATTTTGCTTTGTTTTAACCAGACAGGGTCTTGCTCTGTCACCCAGGCTAGAGTACAGTGGAGTGATCACGGCTCCCTGCAGCTTCGACTTCCCGGCTCAAGTGATCTTTCACCTCAGCCTCCCAAGTAGCTGGGACTACAGGCATGCACCACCACATCCAGATAATTTTTGTATGTCTTATAGAGATGGGGTTTCATCATGTTGCCCAGGCTGGTCTCTAACTCCTGGGCTCAAGTGATCCACCCACCTTGGCCTCTTAAAGTGGCAGGATTACAGACATGAGCCACGGCACCCGGCTATTTTTTGTTTTTTAAAGACAGAGTCTCACTCCGTCACCCAGCACCCAGGTGGGAGTGCAGTGGTGTGATCATGGCTCACTGCAGCCTCAAACTCCTGGGCTCAAGCAATAGGCATGTGCCACCATGCCTGGCTATTTTTAATTTCAGTTTTGTTTTTTTTTTGTAGAAACAAAATCTCCCTATGTTGCCCAGGCTGGTCTCAAACTCCTGGGCTCAAGGAATCCTCCTGAATTGGCCTCCTGAAGTTCAGGGATTCTAGGCGTGAGCCATGGTGACCGGCCATGAACCCCCAACTCTTCAACACAACAAGAACTCTGGGGAAAGCTGCGGCTTAGGCAGAAGGCAGCACAGCCTCTGTGTCCCTACCCCAGGGCCCCACCCACCCCCAGTCCTCATGTCCTGCACCCGGGCCCTAGGGGTCATCCCAGCCAAGTAGAGCCTTGGGGCACAGCTGCAGTAAGGCAGCTGGGCTCTCCGGTCTCCCAGCCTCTGGCAGAGGAGGGCATCAGTGCAGGCTCCTGTCCAGCACTTCTCCTGCTCAGCAGCCTCAATCTGTGGCCCACAGGTTCCCCTAGAGAATGTGGGAAGCCCCAGGCCATCCCCCACCTCCTGCCAGGGCTGGAGTTCGGCCTGGGCCTGTGGCTCCCAAGGCAAGGAGGGAGAGAGTTCACTCCTGGGCCCTTTGGCCTCAGGACACCAAATGCCAGCATGGGGCTGGTCCTGGCCTCTGGGCTGCCGCCTCCAGGTGTCTCAAGGACCTGGGTCTGGCACCACCCCCACCCCAGCTCCCTGGTTCCCCATCCCCCAGCCCCGCTCACCGGCTGTGCTTGCTGGGGGAGGCTTTAGGGGACCCCTTGGCTGGGGATCCCTTGGGGGACCCCTTCCCCTGGGAGCCTTTGCCCAGCCCCTTGAACATGGTCGTAAAGGCAGGTGCTGGCGAAGGCTGGGCTCGGCTGGCGAAGGCGGGCAGGAGGGCAGGTGGGAGGCAGCGGGCGTCCTTGCTGGCTGGTCAGCTAAGTCTGGCAAGGTGGGGCGGCTGGGCACCCGGGAAAGGAGTTTCTGGGAGGCCCCTCCCTGCAGGTGAGGCAGCGGGTGGCCGGGCCCCAGGCCTGCCGCGCATGCACCCACAGCGGCCGCACTCACCCGCTCCTGCACAACCAGTCTGGGAGGAAAGGGCACAGCCTGGAGGGCGGGGCCGAGCCTGCCTGACTCCCGCAGAAGGTTTGGACTTGTTACACCCACATGCCCCGGGGAGCGCAGCGGCGGTCACACCCAGATGGGGAAGGAGCTGCGCCAGGACAGATGAGGCTGGAGACAGACGCGCGCATGCAGGCGCGAGCTCAGCGGCGAGGCCCCAGCCCCGGAGCGCACGGTGAATCGGCACCGCCAGGCAGCTCAGAGGCCCCGCGGCCGGGCCGCTCTCCACCCCCAGCTCTCCATCCCCCAGGAGAGGAGGGGCTGTCCTGCCAGCCCAGGGCCTGGCTCTCTGTTCTTCACCGACATGACGGGGCAGCCAGGGGACATTCACTCCAGACAACTGGCACGAGGTCCTTTTTTTTTGAGACAGAGTCTCGCTCTGTCACCCAGGCTGCAGTCCGATGTCACGATCTCGATCTCGGCTCACTGCAGCCTCCACCTCCCAGGTTCAAGCTATTATTTTGCCTCAGCCTCCCTAGCAGCTGCGATTCCAGGGCCCACTTTACAAAGCCTGCACAGGGCAGCACCTCCCCGCCCCACCTTCCTGGCTGGCTCTGTGCAGGGCTCTGTGCGCCATCTGTGTGGGGCTCGGAGCCCGATGCAGTAGGACGAGCATCACTGGGATCCGATCCTAGGATCCCCAGGCCAGCTTCAGAGAGGTGAGGGCGCCGGCTGCACACCCTCCCCCAGGCGCTACCAGGGCTGGCTTCAGTGTCACTAAGCCTAGGCTCTGGCTGAGGGCCGGGCACCCACTGCACTTGGCTTTCCCACCTCCCTCTTCCCTCCCCGGGAATGCCCCGGGGTGACCCCAGTTTTTTTTTTTTTTTTTGAGATGGAATCTTGCTCTGTCGCCCAGGCTGGAGTGTAGCGATGCGATCTCAGCTCACTGTAAGCCTCCACCTCCTGGGTTCAAGCGATTCTCCTGCTTCAGCCTCTCGAGTAGCTGGGATTACAGGCGCCCACCACCATGCCCGGTTAATTTTTGTATTTTTAGTAGAGATGGGGTTCCACCATGTTGGCCAGGCTGGTCTTGAACTCCTGACTTCAAGTGATCCACCCTCCTCAGCCTCCCAAAGTGCTGGGATTACAGGCATGAACCACTGAGCCGGGCTGCTTCATCTTTGAGCTTGACCCTACCCTGGGAGGTGACAGTCTTTGGAAGTGGGGCCCTGGGGAGAGGTTTCCAGACTCCAGACTGGGAGCAGCCAGGGGAGGCCTCTGAGCTGTGCAGTGGGAGGTGCCCTGGGCGGAGGGCAGTGAGGCTGAGGTCTGGAACACTCAGGCAGAATCCCTCCTGGAAGGAAATGAGCACTGCAGGGGGCCCTCACACGCCCCAGAGATTAAGGGCTAACTGATTCACTGCAAGAAAAACAAGAGCTGACTTCCTGGCGTGACCTTCTCATGCCGTATCAAATCAGGCCCTGCTGCTCTAATGAGGATTGCAGGGCGGCTGGCAGGAACATCCCGGGCCCGGAGGGGAGCTGTCACTGTGGATGCTTCTGTCGGATGGCAGCGATCCTGGCCCCAGGAGAAAACAGGAGAATGGACAGGGACACAGAGGGGGGCATGGCTGTCTGTGCTTCACCTCTGGCCTCACACTTTGGAGAGAGAGGAGTCCTTTATCTAAAAGGCCAAGAAGGGGCTGACTGCCTGGATCAAGCCCCTCAGCGTCCCTTTCGGCAGCCACAAAGCCTGCTGTGTGTGGCATAGGGCATTTGAATGTCCCTGGACTGAAGTGAGATGTGGTCTAAGTGCAAAATTCACACCAGATTTCCAAGACGTACTATGGAAAAATAATGTAAAACATTTCATTATTATTATTTTTTGGGGGAACGAGTCTTGCTCTGTTGCCAGGCTGGAGTGCAATGGCATGATTTCAGCTCACTGCAACCTCCGGCTTCTGGGTTCCAGTGATTCTCCTGCCTCAGCCTCCTGAGTAGCTGAGATTACAGGCGTCCACCACCACGCCCGGCTAATTTTTTTGTATTTTTAGTAGAGACGGTGTTTCACCATGCTGGCCAGGCTGGTCTCAAACTTCGGACCCCAAGTGATCTGCCCACCTTGGCCTCTCAAAGTGCTAGGATTACAGGAGTGAGCCACCACACCTGGGGTAGCATCACATTAATTTTTGTATTGATTGCATATTGAAATATTTTAGATATATTGAATTAAATAAAACATATTTAAAAAAATTTTTTTTGAAATGGAGTCTGTGTCCCAAGCTGGAGTGCAAGGGCACAATCTCGGCTCACTGCAACCTCCACCTCCCGGGTTCCAGTGATTTTCCTGCCTCACCTCCCGAGTAGCTGAGATTACAGGTGTATTTTACATTTTGACTTGTTTTTTCCTCTTTAAAACGTGGCTGCTGAGAAATCTAAAGTGACAGATGAGGCTTGCACTTGGGGCACATCAGGATTTC